GGGAGAAACTCCCTGACAGTGAGGACAATTAACCAGAGGAACGGCTTGCCACCAGAAGTTGTGGGGGCTCCATCCCTGGAGGTTTGTAAGAAGAGACTGGACAGCCCTTTGTCCAGAATGGTATCGGTTCTCCTGCTGGAGCAGGGGGCTGGACTAGAAGACCTCCAAGGTCTCTTCCCGCTCTGCTATTCTTTCTCTTGGGTGCAATTCCATGAGGTGAAGAATCCTACACCTCTTGGTTAAAGTCTTGCTCCAAAGATCTCCAGGAGGAGGAGCAGGAATTAAGCAGGGGGAAACTGCCTTCCCGGAGCAATGTTTATAGTGAGGGATGCTTATTTTACAGGGCAAATATAGACGGCTGCATGGATCCTCCACATGGCTCCGGGCAACAGTGGTGGAGGTCCTCAGTGGGCTTATTTGCCCAAATTTAATTTGTCCATCTTATCACAGGGTAACCCTGGATGGCTTACAATCTCAAGAAGATAAAAGCTAAAAGACGCAGAAATAAAATAGTGTGAAGGCCCAAAGGATAAACCCCAATTAAAAGAGGGGAAAGTGGGAGTGGAGTGAGGAGGAGGAGAAAGGAGATGGGATTTGTAGTTAATCTATCAACTACCATACCCGCTCCCTGGTGTGAAGCCCGTCCATTGGCGCCCCAGGTCAATTGGGAGAGCCAGATCTTTAGGCGCTTATGAAATGTCCGGATGGTTGGAGATGACCTTACTCGGGGGGGGGGGGGGGGGGTGCGAGATCTTCCAGAGCAGGGGCCTCCAACCTTGGCAACTTTAAGGCGTGTGGACTTCAACTCCCAGAGTTCCTCAGCCAGTCTCCACAAGTCTTAACGTTGCCAAGGTTGGAGGCCCCTGTTCAGGCGCCATGGCGGAGGAAGCTGGAACGCTCTGGCTGATGGGGCCCGGAGCATGTGGCTTCGGCGGGCACAAGTGGGGTGGGATGAGAAGGTCCCCCCCCAATCTCTTGGGCAAGCAAAGGCTTGGTTTCCCACAGAGCCCACGCCAGGCGGGGGGTGTTGATCTCCCACTCAAGAACCACACGCTGAGCATGCAGGAAAAGCCATGTCTTTATTCCCGAGAAGGCAAGCGCAAACAGGAAAGCAACTGGGGCGGCGGTCTCCGCTCCAAGGCACATGCTTCCACGCAGGGATGCTAAAGAGGGACTCATTCTTGGGGGTCTTGTTGTTGCTGCTGCTGCTGCTGTTGCCCTGTGAGGAAAAAAGAGGAGTGGGAGGCGGGCAAGGGGCTCCTGTTCCCAAGCCCTGGCTGAGCAGAGCAGAGGCGGCTTGGCCTCCTGCCTGGGTCTCCTGCCTGGAGGGTCTGGTGGGTGTATTTGGGCAACCATCCATTCACAGGCTGCCTCCCAGAGACAGGCGAGACCCCCGGCCTCCCAGAGTGCCCCCCCCCGCTTCTTCCTCCTCCTCCTCCTCCCCAGGCTGGGCCTTTCCCCCTGGCTGCCCGCTGGCCCTTCATCGGGTGGGAAAGTGGAGACATGATTATTGCTGACATGGCACAATCCATAAATCAACGTGGTGGCCCCGTAGTAAGACTCCCTCCTGCCTACCTAGGTGTTTCACCTGCCTTCTGTTGTCAGGTGAGTGATGCAAGTTTAAAAAGGGGAGGGGGTTTCAATCCACAGCCACTTTCTTCACAATCCCACCCCCTGATGCTGTTATTTCACAAGACTCGTTTTGCAGAGGACCCAAGCAGAGAGACTTCGGATGTCTCCACCCTCACCACCCTTGGGTTGTTGTGTCACATCGGCCCTTGTGCAGAATGGGGAAAGAGCTGAGCGCGAGCAGGAGAGTTTCTGCTTTTGTGGCCATCCAGGTAACCACAATGACTAAGTTTCCACACCACACAGAGAGGCCACTGGACAATCAATCCCCCAGTGAAGTTGGAAGCCCAATCTCAGGACTCTAAGGACAAGGAGAAGGGCTCCCTCCTGAACTGGAGGAAGATGCAGCTGACACACTAGGAGGAAGGATTAATGCCCAGACGGGGGTTAGGGCTGCTTTTCACAGACACAGCATGTTTGCGTATACACAAGGTCACGTTCATGCCTGTTCCTTACCGAATTCACCACAGACCATTTGGCACTCCAGTTTTGTGGCGAAGCGATTGCCGTTGCCGTTACACATTCCATAAACAAATGTTTCACATTTCTTGGTATTCCAGTTGTAGTAATATTGTTCGGAATATGCTAAACAACGACCTGGGTCTGCTGGCAGTTTGCAAACCTCTGTAGGGAAAGACGGAGTACAGGAGAGAAGGAAAGTGAGACGGACAGAGAAAGAATATTTTTCTTACTTTAATGGGTTGTGTCCCTTTTCCCTGAAAGCCTTAGGTCGGGGGTGTCAAACTGGTGGTTGATGGGCCGGATGCCTCACTCAGAGCCACGCCCACCCCAGCTCCACAAAGGGGAAAAACGTCATGATATGTCACGTGACCACAATGTGATAAGGTGAGTTTGACACCCGTACCTTAGATGGACCCAAAGACCTAAGATTTGATCTTGTGTGGGACTGAATGGGTCACGTGGAAAGGCGGCCTCAGAATGAGTGCCAGAAAGGCTGGCATCTGTAGTGGTCTGTGCGAATGGCCTTGGGGGACAGAGGGAAAAGCTGCCAATGCAACAATGGTTGGATAAGAGGCAGATGAGTCCCCAGACGGAAAGGGGGCCTGGAGAATGTCTCCAGAGGGCCCCTGGGTGGTGTTTCTTGTTGGGCTGACTCACTCAGAGGGGAGGGAAGCGTTGGCTTTCCAGCCTGACCACAGCAGGGACCTCAATGCAACACGCCTCCTCTGTACCTTTGCTGATCTTCCCACAGGCCTTTTCACACAGCTCCCTGGTCGGAAAGTTGTTGCTGTTGCCTTCACAGCCATGGTAGACAAATGAGATGCACTTCTTCTCCTCCGGATCATAGTAGAAGTGTTGCAACTCCTTTGAGCAGCTGCCCTGGTTTCGAGGCAACTGACACTGGTCACTTCGCACTGGGAGAGAGGGAGAGAGAGGGAGCTCGCTTGGCCTCTGGCTCAGGGGCTCAGGAGGACAGAGGGGGAAGGAAACAGGTGGACAAAGGAGGCCTGGACACACCTGAAGGCAGGCAGCCTCGGCTGCAGCCGGTGAAGCAGCACTTCTCGGTCAGGCGGCAGTCACGGTCATCACTGCAGGTGTTGTTGCAGGGAACAAAGGGGAACACTTCGACTCTCCTGGGACACACACCAGGGTGTTCTAGAATGTGCGGGAGTGACAGACACGAGAACCAATCAGGATACGTAGAGTTACTTCTGAGCTGTTTTCTTTACTGTTCCTCACCTACAGACGGCATCTTGCCAGACTAAAGCAATTATTTGCATATTACAGACAATAATCTCTGGGAATCTCTAGGAAGGAGCTTTGTTAAGTTTCTGCCTCATGATCCAACTATCTACACTGTGCTGCTTTTTCTTTTCTGAAATGCAGCCCCTCCCTTCTAGGAATCCAGACTGCATTCCACCACAGGGAGCGATGGGAGGCAGTTCCTCAGGGCCTGGGATTGGGTGGCAGACACGGTCAAGCTTGAAAGTGTCACAGTCTCTCTGGTGCAGCTGCTCTCAAGTTAGACATGAACCCCCTTCTGCGCCCACCTCAATGCAGGGCCTGCGCCTGGTAGCTTGGAAGATGAGGAGCACTGGGGATCTGGGAAGGCTCACAGTGTGAACTATGCCAAGAAAGGGAAAGGCTGAGGCTATACAGCCTGCCACTGTGCTCAGCTTGGTTAATGTTAAGTTTGTGTGGGCAGCTTTGTGGTTTAACACTGGGTGCACACCCTACACATTTCTTCCCTTTACAACACATGTATTGCACCTGTGCAGGGAATTGATGAATTTAGGAACCAGTGGACGATGTGAATAGACCTTAGGCGATATTATGGGCTTGGGCACTCTGCCTATCAGACCCTGCTGCATAGATGGTGGGGGCTGTTTGAGTGGGGGGGGGGAAGGAGAGAGAGAAAAGAGATGTACCTTCCACAGCCTCCACACACAGCTTCCTGTCCCCAAATGGGCAGCACGTCTTCTGGGGAAGAGAAGAACCAGCGTTGCATTCCCAGTCGCTGTTGCAGTCCGTGTAGCAAAGAGGGCCATTTCTGCCGCTGGGTGGATGAATCACCAGTGGGCAATATCCTGAAGAATCTGGGGGGGAAAGGGAGACACCGAACAGAAAAGGATATTCAGTCCCCGGACGGAGCTCCCACCCTAGTAGAAGAGGTCCTCTCCAAATGCGGTAGCACTTTCTGCAGCCTGGCAGGGGCATTCTGGGAAGTGGGGTTGGCAATTAGTAACCGGGGGGAATTTTGCCTGACCCCATGAAGCTGCTGGAATGGCTTCTGCCACTGTGCCACGGGGGGTGGGAGGTCTTCTCTGGCTAGGGGGCAACTGAAGGTGATCTAGCCAACTGAGACTGGCACCGGAATCCTCCTTCGCTGGAAGCTCAGTGGTTAAACTTTCGGCTCAGATAGGTGGGTCCCCTTAATCACCATGCTCGAAGAGAGTTCCAAAACACATGTTGGTTAAAGGAAAGGCAGCGGCACAGCTTTATGCAAGGGATACCTGCCCATCTTTAAAAATAGTCAGACTTTGGGGAAATATCGGAAGATTGGTACTGAAATGTGAGCTAGAAATAAAATAAATATAGGCTTGAGCTGGATAGCAATATATATGAATAGCTTTCCTTCAGAAGTTGTGGGGGCTTTATCACTGGAGGTCTTTAAGAAGAGACTGGGCAGTCACTGGTCTGAAATGAGCAGGGGGCTGGACTAGAAGACCTCCAAGGTCCCTTCCAGCTCTATTCTGATTCTAATTTGGATGCTGACTTGCTGGCCTCCTTCTTCCCTCCTTCAACCTCGGGGAGGCTCACTGCTGCTGGGCTGAACTCTCAGGGCAAAGTTTTCCTGGGGGCAGTCAAGAGAATTCTCCATGGCCCCTTTGCCATCGGACAATTCACCGTCGGACAACAATGCAAGATGATGTATTCTAGACCCCTCCTTCTCTTAATATTGTGTTAGTAATATTATTGATATTATTATTATTCCTAATATGATAAGTTGTCTTGCTTTGAGTTGTCCTAGGGCGAATTGCCCTACAGGGAGTTAACTATTCTGTTTCTTGGACAGTTCAAATCTTGTAGGTATTTCAGTGATATTTCCCCGTAGGGCAAAAAACTTCCCACTCCGGCACAGCTCTGCCGCCCTTCATGCCAGGCTTAGCAGGTGCCCTCCCGCCTCCATTCCTGACCCCTCGCCTCCCTCCCAGTCCTGGCACCAGACTTACCTCCTTCTGGGAGTTGACATTGCTGCCCACAAGAAGTTGGACAGCAGCGCTGAGTGCCCGGGCAGCTGGCATCGCTGGAGCAGAGTCTGTCACAAAATATGTGAATATTTGGAAGGATGGCGGGACACTCACCAGGCTTGTTGATACCTGCAAGTTTATGGTTTTTTTGAGAGGGGGGAGAGATGGAATTCCTTTCAGTCAAGTGGGAACCGTTTTGTTCTCTTGGAATGTTATCCACGAATTCGGCAAAGCTTTGGCTAGGATCCATCAGCCCTCTCAAAACAAGGAACCCATCCATACGTCTCCTTCTGGGAGATGGTTCTGAAACAGGTGGTCGTGATCATGGGCCTAGGATCCTGACCACTTCCTCAAGTGCAAGAGTGCTAAACTATTCCCAGGTAACTAGTCAAGAACTGCTAGCCGTAACCATAAGCCTAACCAACCTAATTATGCATCCAAAGTCAAGTGTACTACGGAAAAGGAATCGCTGCTGGTTCACTCTGTCCTTCCCTTCCTCCTCTCCTGAGCAATGGCATAAGTATATACAGAATAAATAAATATGAATAAATGGACAAATGGTCCTGTCCATCTGTCCCTCTCCGTTCTCTCTTTGAAGTCTCTTGAATTGTAGTCTACAACTGATTGACAGACCGTAGCCATTGTAGTATGGTGAGTGACAATACCCTGTTCCTCCTTTCCTTCACCATTTCTCCTTTTTCAGTCCCCTTCCTTCCTCCCTCCCTTCCTTCTTTTCATTCCTTTCTCTTCTCTTCTGTCTCTTCTCATTGCCATTCTTTTCTTTTCTGCCTTTTCCTTTCTTTTCTTTTCTTTCTTCTCCCAAGATAGCTTTGCTCGACAAAGGCCACCTGGCCTAGAGCCAATGGTCCTCCCTCTGACCAGACCCTCCCCTCACCTGGGGAAACACAGCAGCGGTCACATTCGTTGATATCCTTGTAGTTGTTAGCATTCCCATAGCAGCCTCCATAGAAGAAACGTTCGCACCTCTTGGACTTTGAGTTGTGGAACCAGCGAAGTTCTAAATTGTCAGCGGGACCTTTGTCTGGCGGGAGCTCGCAGTCTTCTGGAAAACAGAGTAGAAAGCCAAGCACAGTTTCCACTGGATGCCCCACCTCTCAAGTGGGATCCTACCTTAGTCAATACCAGTTTGGTGGATGCATGCACGCCCCTAACATGCGCATCCCAATAAGCCAACCAGCTGAGAGGATGAAGAAACGAAAAGCTAGGAGCAAAACCCCCCACCCTTCCATGCGCTTTTTGGTCTTTTGTCCTCTCAGATGAATGGAGGCGTTTTTTAAATTACCAGTTAGGCTGAAGCAGTGGTGACTTTTACTACCAGTTCGCTCAAACCAGGCCAAACCGGTAGCATACCACCATTGGTATGCTGAAGGGCAGAAGGACATGGCGATTGTGGAACAGATCTGACACCCACTCCTGGCTTGCTCTTTTACCAGTTGGTGGCTGCATGCAGCTCTGTCTTGCAGAGAACATAACCAGCAGTGGGATCCTACCTGTTGCACTACCGGTTTGGTAATCGTGCACAAGTGCGATTCCCCACACCGGCCGAGGCCTGCAGCGCCAATCAGCTGAGAGGAGAAAGAAGAGAAAGGCCTGCGCTTTTCTCTCCTTTCTCCTCTCAGCTGATTGTCGGAGCTTTTTTTTTACTACCGGTTCGGCCCAACTGGGCCGAATCGGTAGCATACCATCACTGAACATGATTCTCAGAAGCCCAGGAGACATCTGGCTGGCATTCCTTGGCTGGAAAGCAGAGGAATCTGATGGAGGAATTCCTAACTCATTGGAGTCCTTTCTATCACATCTACCGCAGACTTTCTCTCCCTAGAATCTATTTCTCTTCCCCAAGGTGCATCTGATGAGGGTGGATCCTTTGGAGAACCAATGAGACATAGGAAGGTGTGTGTGTGTGTGTGTGTGTGTGTGTGTTCACACTGCAAGTACCTCACATTTCCCCAGATCCTTTGCTCTAACAATTCCCCCTCCAGCTGAGGAACAGAAGAAGCAGAACCAAGCACCCCATAAAGCAGAGGTCCCCAAACTTGGCAATTTTAAGACCTGTGGACTTCAACTCCCAGAATTCTCCAGCCAGTTGAAGTCCACAAGTCTTAAAGTTGCCAAGTTTGGAGACCCCTGCCATAAAGTCATGGTTGGTTGGTTCTTTCCTGCCCTGTGTTTTGGTTTGGTTTGCAGTTGTGCAAAGTGGAGCAGCCCAGCACCCTCCCTGCCCAGTCTCATATAACATAGTGGAGGGGAGGGCCGACTTTGCAGGAGGAAGGAGAGAGCCCACAGGGGCTCCCCAAATATCTCTGAGAAGCCCACCACCAATCCTCCCTTAAGCGTTCCTCAGCAGCTGCTCTTCCAAGGCCAATGTGTAATTAGTAGTCTGTCCCTCCTAGCTATTGCTGCAGCCTTTCCTGTTTCTTCATTGCACAAGTCCACGGAGCTAGTGACTAACTTCCCATTTTGTGGTCATGAGTTCCACTGCGGAGTTTTTTTTTCTGTCCACACCCCATTTGAGAATAATGGTTGATCCCACCAGGTTCTGGAGTTAGGAGAAGAGGTGATATGACAGGTCTCTAAAATGAGTGAAGGAGCAGAACAATCCCCTCCATGATTATGCTAGAACCCAATGGATCAGTAGATAGGACCCCGTGGTGGAGATGCCTCTTTGGGTGGCCTCCTTAGGCTAAAGAGTTCTCCCTCACAACTTGCAGAGATGTCTGTCAACATTGATGTGACAAAAAAGCAAGTCACGGAAGAGAACATTGCATGGATTATTAGTAGCCATTGGTCATGCAGGCTACCTAATCCCTATCTGAGATACATTCAGAGGGTTCTTTGGGATGAAAGTTGGACCGGATGGGCCATTGGTCAGATCCAACAGGGACCTTATTGTGCTGTCGACCATCTAAATTCTTGGTTGTCCAAGGAAGCGTGGTCCTCGGGACAGCTCTTTGACAAAGTGGAACAAGCTTTGAAGCACCGGGATTGCATCTGACCCCAAAGTGCTTTCTGACTGCTTAAGGAGCCACAGATTCCTAGGTGAGGGTGGAGGAGAGGAAAGGAAGGGGAAGGGGAGGATTGGCCCAAATCCCACCCCAGAGGATAAAGGAGTCCCAGCCCAGCCAGATCGGCTTCTCAGCTCCCTTCTCCAGCAGGGCTTTGCTAGGGGGGCTACTCACTGTTCAGAGGCGTCTGGCTCTCTTGACCCCCATCATGTCCAGCAGCATCGAGGTCAGCAGAGAAGGAGAGGAGCATCCCCAGGAGAAGGACCCTGGCCCACATGGTCTCTCAGGAGGGAGCAGGTGTCTCGGCTGAGGCAGAGGAAGGAGTGAATGAAAGTCGCGGAGGGATGAGGGCAGTTTAACCTCAGGTTGTGGGATTTTCCCAATGCAAAGCTTCCTGGAGGCAGGAAAGCCGAGAAAGCCATGCCAGAGCCAGAGGCAATTTCCACAAGGAAAACTTCGCCCAGAGGAGGGACATCTAACTCCACCCAGGGTGCATCTTGCAATGGGTTAGAAGGACAAGAGATTTATTTATTTTATTGTATTTATTTGTTGGTTTGTCGAACATGTACAAGATAACAAGGATAGGTATGAACATAAACAAGAACAAAGGACGTAAATACAGATGAATGGGGACAGTAGAACAGGGATGGTAGGCAGGCTGGTGCGCTTATGCACGTCCCCTTTAAGGACCTCTTAGGAATGGGGTGGGGTCCATGGTAGACAGATTGAGATTGAGATTGGGGTGAGCCCCCTGAACTGGCTGCCTCTGAAAGAGATTGGCCTGGTTCAAGAGCCCCGGGCAGTTTCTTTATTGTTGGTCACCTATTTTACGAGAATCTCTCTCTGGTGGCTGCATTCTTTTAGGATCTGATAGATAAAGCTTTACTAGTCTGGTCTATGATATTTCCTCCCACGGAGCCACCCCATCCTGCCATGGCTCTTAGCTGCACCCCTTTTAACTGCCCCCACTCCTTCCTCCGGTGATTCCACCACATCACGGAAGAACCCCCATGTTCTCGAAGTTCAAAAGCGAATTCAACAACCTTGCATAATGATATGTAGCTAACTTTAAAAACTGCTACAAAGCCTTATGCCACCAGATAAAGGCCGAATGTACCAATCACCATTGCAAACAGGAGGAAGGGCTGTTAAACTTGAACTCTTCCCAAGCCTTTTTTAATTTCGTTAATGCCAAACTTAAAGACTCGAAATCTATCCCATCCCTAAAAGGGCCTAACAGGGAAGACGGGAACAATGAAACTCTAAAGGCCAACCTCTTTAATACGTTCTTCAGTTCAGTCTTTGTTGACAGCAATGGCTGCTTCCCCCCATTTCCTAGTTTCACCCCAGAAAATTGTAACGACTTACTACATATTGATTTTATAGTAGATAACGTTGAAGCAGCACTACGTAACCTAAGGCCATCTCTACCTATTGGCCCCGATGGATTATGTGCCTACTTTTTGAAAAAGCTGGCCATTGCCCTAGGTGAACCTCTATGCACAATCTATGGGGTATCTTTCACAACCAGCTCCCTGCCCGACTTATGGTCATTAGCCACGGTCATACCTATCTTTAAAAAGGGAGAGCCCAGCCTAGTAGAAAATTACAGACCAATCTGACTCTGTTACGTCACCTGTAAAGTCATGGAATCAATTATAAACCCATCCATCACCCTCCACTTGGAGACAAGCAACTTGCTTTCTAACAAGCAGTTTGGTTTCAGGAAAATGTTGTCCTGTAATCTGCAACTCCTACATTGCAGAAACATTTGGACCACGCATATTGACCAGGGTAAAGCAATAGACGCAATTTACATTGACTTCTGCAAAGGCTTTGATTCAGTGGTGAACGACAAACTACTGCTGAAACGTAGTTCTTATGGCATCTCCGGGTCCCTGCACAAGTGGAGAGCCATGTTCCTGTCAAACAGGCAGCAAATGGTCAAAACAGGGAAGGCCCTATCAAATCCAGCAGCAGTTAATAGCAGTGTCCCCCAAGGCAGTGTCTTCGGACCCACACTCTTTCTGCTTTACATCAATGACCTATGTGACAACATTAAAAGCGGCTGCGTCCCCTTCGCCAATGATGTAAAATTATTTAACACCACTGACAATGCTGCCGCCTTACAAAGCAACCTTGACTATGTGTCAGAATGGTCGCGCAATTGGCAACTCCAAATCTCAACTAATAAATGCTCTGTCCTACACATTGACAATAAAAATCAGAACACCAAATACAAGTTGGACAGAAACGATCTTGTAGATGACCCTCACTTTGTCAAGGACTTAGGAGTACTTATCTCAAACGATCTAAGCCCCAGAGCTCACTGTAACAGTATAGCCATAAAGGCATTAAGAGTTGTTAACCTTATTTTGTGAAGCTTCTTCTCCAATAACATTGAATTGTTAACTAGGGCATACAAAACCTTCGCCAGACCAATTCTGGAATGCAGCTCGTCCGCCTGGAACCTGCACTGTATCTCGGGCATTAACACAATTGAGCGGGTTCAGAGGTATTTCTCGAGAAAAGTTATCCACTCCTCTAGTCACAATAGAATTCCCTACGCCTCCAGGATCCAAATTTTGGGCCTGGATAATCTGGAACTGCGCTGCCTGCCTCCCAATCTAAGCATAGCACACAAAATTGTCTGCCACAGCATCTTGCCAGTCAACGACTTCTTCAGCTTCAACCCCAATAACACACGGGCAAACAATCAATACAAACTCAAGGTAAACCGCTTCAAACTCGATTGCAGAAAATGCGACTTCAGCAACAGAGGGGTCAACGCCTGGAATGCTGTACCTGACTCTGTTGTTACAGCCCCTCAACCCCTCACAGCTTCAACCTCAAACTGTCTACCATGGACCTCACCCATCAAAAGTCTGTAACGGGGGCTTAAATAAGCACACCACCATCTCTGTCTTACTGTCCCATTTGTATTCACTTCCTTTGTTCAGGTTTATGTTCAAAGCTATGCTTGTGATCTTGTACAAGTTTTACAAACAGGCAAACAAACAAATAAATGATTGAACTCCACCCAGTGTGCCTATTGCAATGGTCAGACTAGAAGGTTGGTGTGAGATTTGGATTGGGCTGAATCCCCTGGACTGGCAATATGCAGCACAGACTGACCTGCCTGAAGAGCCCTGAGCTGTCGGGGATGGACCAAGCCCCCTTTCCAGAGGATACTAGGAAGGAAGTGGTGGTGGTGGAGGAACATCTATGTTCTCCAAGTTCAAAAGTGAAGGGGTGGGAACTTCTCCTTTGAGGAGGGGCAGGAGGTGAACCTCTCTTTTGCTTCCTGAAGGTGCATGGACCTCAAAAAGAGGAAGAGCAGGCAGTAAGTAGACAAGGACTCCCTGGAAGGGGAGATCTGGGGGCTTCTTGTCCTATCTGAAGACACAA